TTTCTTACAGCTGTCCTCTGCCAATGTTTTTCCTATCAGTTACACATTCATTGGGTAAGCCAAAAAAGGCTGAGGCAGGATAAAGAAGGAAGCTCTTTTTTTTTTTTTAAGAAAGAAGAGATGAGTTGGAAACAAAAATGAGTGCAAACGAAACATGGAGACTCTGCTTGTGTCACAGACACCTCCTGGGAGATGGGACTATGTTAAGCTAGAAATCGTGCAGGGAGCTCCACCCCTGGAGAAGGGCCATGGTTGCGAACAGCAGGAGAAAAACTCAGGCTTTTTCCTTGCTTCTATATCAACTTCCTGACACACTGTCTCCAGAGGGACAGTGGCCATTTCGGTTTGCCTATAAAATATTTTAATGAAAATTACCCCACCAAGCCATCAGAGTAAAAGGCTCCCGAGAGTCACAGCCACCTCTTCCACACCCTCAGCAGACACTGCGCTCCTCTGACACCTGCTCTCCAGCACAGCCTCTCTGCAATGCCGTTATCCGATTCCAGGCTTCACCCTTGACCCACGGCCCTTCTTAATGCCACTGTGGCATATTAAGACTTTGAGACAATGATAGTTGAGTACACTCAATTCAATTATGTGATGGGTAGTAACCAGTTAATTGCCAGTAAAAAGTCGATAATGTATAATGGGTGTCTCTGTACACACCCATCCTTACAATTAGGATCCTGATCCGAGGACCAGTAGGGAGTGCTCACATACAGTAGTTTAGAAATCGTTTGAGCTAATAAAAAAGACACTCGGCAGCTATTACTTTAGATTATTATAACAAGACATCCTATAATTTAATCAAAAGAAATGGTTAGGGTGGGTGCGGGCTAGAAGGAACCAATCGGGGAAAAGAGGATGGGGTTCCCTGTAATACTTTCAACAATAAATAATTGAAAAACTGAAGAAGAAAAAAAGACATGGTTAATGATGTTGGTAACTGGACATGATCTTTCAGTGGTAATGAATATGATGAATCATATCTCTACCAGCATGTCTACTTTTACTTTGACCTCCAGGAAATCTTCCCCTTCTACCATCTATACATACAGAATTTAAAATTCCTCTCGCAGTGTTCTAAAACTCCTACCATGTTTATTTTCCTGAGATATGAAAAATAAAACAGGGTTTGTACTGAAATATGTCTGCACCATTTTTTCCCAAAGTAACATTACAGAAAACTTACACAAGTGCATAACTAAATTTGTAAGAAATAGCTAGAGGGTCTTTAAGTAGATCACCATTTCAGTGTAAGGATTAAACTCTAACGGAGCAATTGTTAGGTACCTCCAGAATGAATATGTATGTAATAAGTCTAAACAAAATTTATTTCAATTTTTATGCCCACCCTCTTTTGTATAGCATAGAATATATGGTAGATAACATGGTATAAGAGTCAGTGTGGGAGTTACATAACCTAGGTTCAAATTGAAGCTTGACCATTCATTATATTTACTTTCAACACGTAACCTTTCTATGCTTCAGTTTCCTGTAAAGTGGGGTAATACATAGTCTGTTTTCAGGGTTGAATATATATAAATGTGTATGCCTATCACATCATGAGCAATATATTTAGCAATTACTATTAGTATTATAATATTAATTAAATAGAGCTGTAGAAACTTAACCAGAATACTGGCAGCTTTCAGCTTCAACACACAAAAAAGCTAGCAAACAACATGGTTTAGAGTAGTTAGTTGCTAGTTATCAATTCCAGTTTCTTTTATCTTAAGAATCCCGAGCCCACAGTTTCCACAATTGAAATAAAAATATTTTATTCCTAATAAAATATTTTATTCTGGTTAGTTGAGGCTTTATGTTTAAGTTAAAGTTCATCAAACACACAAAATTTCTCCCTAAAAGGTCAAATTTGGAATTTAATTTTAAAATGAATTGAAAATAAATGTATGTGAAAGATGAGATTAATATTTCATGTATATGTGGAATTAATGACCACAATAAACAAAATAAAAAACAGATAAACAGACTCAGATATAGAGAACAGACTGACAGCTGTCAGAAGGGAGGGGGGTTGGGGGCTGGGTGATAAAGGTGAAGGATTTAAGAAAACAAAACAAAATTCATAGACACAGCCCAGTTGGTGTGGCTCATGAATTGAGCATCATCTCATGCATCAAAAGATCACTGGTTCCATTCCCAGTCAGGGCACATGCCTGGAGTTATGGACTAGATCCTCAGTAGGGGTCATGTAGAAGGCAGCCAATGGATGTTTCTCTCTTTCTCTCTCATTCTCGTTTCTATCTCTCTCTTCTTCTCCTTTCCTCTTTACCTGAAAATCTATAAAACCATACTTTAAAAAAACACCTCAGAGACACAGGCAACAGTATGGTGATTTTCAGAGGGAAAGGGGTTGGGGGCAGATAGAAGAGGGTAAAGGGGGGGGAAAAACTACCATCAACAATGTACAGAATGGCTTGGAAATCATACAAGTCATTATATTAAGGGGGAAAAATCACTAAAATGTATTTCATTTTACTGTAAATAGAAAATAGCCACCAACAGCAAAATCCAGATTGTGAGAAACTAACTGCATCAGATAAACAGTCTGGTTTCTTCAACAAATAAATTTTAAGGGAGGATTTAAAAATAAAGATAAGGGAAAACCAAAGATTCAAAGAGACTTTTTAAAACTTATTTTTTTAAATAAAACTAGATAGGGAAAACTAAACTACAGGATACATGGTAGAGTGATAAAACTATGACAAAAATAAGGAAATGGTAACCATAAAAGTCAGGGAGGTGTCTACAGTCTTACAAGAAGAGGAGGAAGGGGCCTGGGTTCGGGAAGCAGCACATGGAATTACTGACCAAGCTCTAATTCTTGAACTGGATAGAAGTTATAGGGTGTTCCCCTTTAGTAATTTCTGTGTCAGCATTGTATTTCACAATAAAAAGAAGATTTAAAAAATAAAATTGCAGTTTAAAAGAGTCACCAATGCAGCTATTATGTACTTCTAGGCAGATGTATTTTTGTTCTCACACTCATACTCACATCCTTGAAATAAATACATTGCACCTGAACTTTCACAAATAAAGATTTCATGACAGCTGAGCAGAGATATTTACTAGACTGATTTTTTAGCCATTGTATAAATCTGACTTGACAATTGTGTTAATTTCAATTTGCATCCTCAAGATAAATATGACTTTGTGCCTATTGACAAAAAAAAGATATTCCATAGAGTTTTTCTTTGATCTCTTAGATCCTTTCATTTACTTCAGCTCCAAGAGAAAAGTCAGTTAAAAAAAATGATAAATCCAAAGGTGTTAAGGGCTGAATTGCATTCCCCTAGAAGTCATGTATTGACATCCTAACCTCCAGTACATCAGATTGTAACCATATCTGAAGATAGTCTTTAAAAGACTAATTAAGTTAAAATGAGGTCTTTGGGTGGGCCCTAATCCCATAGGACTGGTATCCTTCGAAGAAGAAGAAGAAATTGGGGCATAGATACACACAGAAGGAAGACCATGTGAAGACACAGGGAGAAGACAGCAAAGGAGAGAAGAAACCAACCCTGTTAACACTTTGATCTTGGACTTCTAGCCTTCAGAACTGTGAGGAAATAAAATTCTGTTGTTTAAGCCACCCTGTCTATGGCACTTGGTTATGGCATGCCTTCTAAACTAATATAGAGGGTAAAAGAGTAGTTGAAACAAAACAATAAAACAACCTACAATTTTACAAATTTTTGATTCATAATGTCTAGTGAAAGGAAAAGCGTAAGAAAATTGTGTCATTAGTAAAGAAAGAAAAATTAAGAAATTCCATGTAAAAAGCTAACTACAAAGAGCAAGACACCAGGGAACCAACAGGAGAGTAACTGGCTACTGACTTTGAATTGATGCACAATATTTGGCACTTTCAATGTAGTTCCTGGAGCTCTGGTCAGTGTGGCTCAGTGGTCAGATCATCAACCTGCCCACTAAAGGGTCCTGGGTTACAGGTTACAAGCATATGCAGGAGGCAGCCAATCAATATGTCTCTCTCACTTCAAAATCTGTTTCTCCCCCCTCCCCTCCTCCCTTCCACTATCTCTAAAAATTACACTTTCTGATTTCAAATATAATCCGAAAAAGAAAGCAAATATATATAAATAGCAATATTATTATGACAAGGCAGAATAGGTAGTCTGAACACTGTTCAAAAGAAAATAGACAATTAGCTAAAACTTTCTATACTAAACATTGAGCCTAAAGCTACACTTTGGTGGAGTTTAGTCTCATATGCCCTAGATTTACCAGTGCCCTGGAAAAAAACAACATACATTTTTATGCCTATAATTGGAGGAAGCTTTTTATTTGTGTGGAATCTTTTCAGAACATACATGACAAGAACTAGAATCTTGAGATTACTATTTCCCTGGGACTACCCCATAGATCTAATAAGTTTATCATTTTGCCAAGGGAAGTCATTCCCAACAAAATAAAAAGCCATGTATACCCTGACCCAAGATTTCACCTCTTGGTTCTCAGTGCTAACCTTAAAAGCAAATTTCAGAAATTATTTTTTGTAACATCATAAAAAAGAATCTCTTGCAGCAATATTAATTCTACAAAACATACCTCCAATGATTCCTACAGTGTACTTATAATGCTTTTTCTATTAACTAAAGGTTTTATTTTATTTTCAAAAGTAATTGGTAATACACTTTCTTGATAAAAAAAAAAAATTAAGATTTTTAACTTATTTTCAGAGAGAGAAGATGAAAGTGAGAGAAACATCCACCAGCTTCCTCCTGCAGGTCACCAACTAGGATTGAGCCCAAAACCCGGGCAAGCACCCTGACCAACAATCAACCAGCAACCTTTCTGCGCATGGAACAAAACCCACGCTAGGGCTTGATAAAGTTCTTTGTTATAAAAGCCCCAAAGCGATACATTAGAAGTATCACTGAAAGTATTAAAATGGTAATCAATATTCAAGAGATTCTGAACAAATTTTCCCAAGACGGAGATAAAATTTTACTTACTTTAACTTCCACCGTCTTCCCTCCATGTTCAATGTGTCTCTCTATGTATTCAGAGGACAGCAAATCACTGCAAACAACAAAAGGAAGGATGGTTAAAGAGGACTAGAAAAGGTAAAGCATTTGAAAATCAAGTATACCCATACCAGCTTTAATGATTCATTAACTCCTATTTTAAAACAAAAATAACACTTTCTCTCTCTCTCTCTCTCTCTCTCTCTCTCTCTCTCTCTCTCTCTCTCTCTCTCTCTCTCTCTCTCCTACACACACACACACACACACACACACCACACACACACACACACATACCAGCTTAGTATTTCTAAAGGGTTATGAGGATGAACTGACTACACCACCTGTCACCTCCTTGCTTAGCAGAGTTGATTCCATTGATCTTTTTTAAAAAATATATATATATATATTTTATTGAATTTTTACAGAGAGGGAGAGGGATAGAGTTAGAAACATTGATGAGAGAGAGTCATCGATCAGCTGCCTCTTGTACACCCCTACTGGGGATGTGCCCTTGGTATGTGCAACCAAGGTATGTGCCCTTGACTGGAATCAAACCTGGGACCTTTCAGTCCTCAGGCAGACGCTCTATCCACTGAGCAAAACCGGTTTTGGCTGATTCCACTGATCTTATTGAGAAGTTCTGGGAAACTACCAAAAGCACACCATTATTATAAAGACACCTTATTTTTACCTTTTGCTTTAGCTTTTTATCAAACATTTTTAACTTGCTACCATCCCTCACCATCTCTTTATGTGTTATGTGTTATATTTTACCTGACAAAACATTAGTTTCCAACACAAAAAAAGGGGGGGGGGCAAAGAATGCTAAAAGAACTAAATAGGAACATAACATTAGCAATAAAATAATTCTATTTTGAAATCTACTAAACAACAGCCTTTTCATAGGATATTAAGCTATTTGCATCATCTTAAATACACTTCTCCTTAATTCCATGTATGTAGAAAAATGTCCCACATACTTTAATGGAAGTACCTCAAGACACAATTTGCACACAAAAAAAAAAGTATCGAAGTCTATTATTTTTAAAACACTAAAATAGAAATAAAATTAACATTAATAGAAATAATACAAGAAGCTATACATTTCTGAGGACCCTGGGCCTGGGGATACCTACTAAGAAAGGCTCCTGGTGGTAAACTGAGCTCAAATTTAAAAGCAGAGCTTTGCAGGCAAGTCTAAAAACAGGGCTCTCTTGTTCAAACCACACTGAACAGCCTGCCTGCACCATGTTCCTGCCACCTGAGCCAGGCCTTATAAAGCAGTTCCTGGAATCCTATTTCAACCAATGAAATTGAGACTGCCCTGGTCCAAACAGAACTCTAAGGCTATATCCTCATTAGCATCTTCAGCAACCTATAAGAGTGGCTCCATTCTGATCAATACAGACAGCTCCTTATGGACCAATCAAAGTGTGAGGATTTGGAGTCCTCATTTGCATGAGGACAGACTAATCAGAGACCGGGGCAGGGACTTCTCTCTGTATAAGTCAGCACCCCTCTGGCTCAGGAAGAGCACTTTCCCTTTTCACCAAAGACTGAAAACTGGATTGAAGCACCTAAGACAAAACACAAAGACTTTTCACCAGACCAGAATGCAACAAAGCAACTGGAGCAGAGCAGGCAGAGCAGAAGTGTCTAGACCAAGAGGGGCCTTGCTGAGGTCCGCCTCACTCCAGGGCTGCCTTACCTTGTCTCACAGCCCTGCTGTTGCACAGCTGTGCTGTTTCATAATTGAACTGTGTGCACTGAATAAAGTTTCCTTTTTCATCACATCCAAACTGGAGATTCCTGCTGGTGTTGAATTGAAGCCAACCATCAGTTGATATTCTAAATCTACCCTATGAATAAACATTCAGCCAACTAGGAACATTTTTTTTCACAGTGTTCTGAAGGTCACCAAGCCAAAATTGTCCCAATTATAAAATAAAATAACAAGTGAATTTATGAGCACACAGTCATCCCATGATAAGCACCACTCTTACAGTTGTTTGAAATGTAAATAACAAAATGATCAAATGAGAGTCATATTAACACAGGCACCATAATTAGTTTCTACAGTATATGATTCTCCCATTACCATTTGGGGAAACTATAATTATTGTCTAAGTCCTTGTTTCATTTGTCTTTGGAATACATTTTCCTATTGACTTTTTAAGGAGGGACCAGCGAGGATGCTCTAAGCTGCAAGTTGCAGAAAACAGAACTAAATATGGCTCAGACCATCAGGACATTAAATCTTATTTCTTATTAGAAATTTCAGGACAGGTGTAAGGTGAGTTTGCTTTTATAAATCTTCAAGTCTGTTAAATGAATAAATTTGAAGGTTATAATAATGTAGGCAAACACTCTTAAGATACTTATATATAGATAAGTAGCTAGTAAGCAAAATTTCATTAGATTGAGTAAGTTGCATTGGCTGTATAAAGTATAAGAAAATCATGTATGTTTTACACACAGATAGAAAGTTATTTAATATTCATGATGCACCCAGTTAATAAATGTTTATTATATAATAAGTATACAAAATATATTAAATAAATCACCTATTAGTGACATCCAGGGTTCAGGATTCCTCACCGTCCGCACCAATGACATTTTAGGTCAGATCATTCTATCTTGGGAGCACCTTGGGCATTGCACAGTGTGCATTCCCACCAACAGCACACAAAGGCTGCCTTTTCTCCATACCCTTTCCAACACTTATTGTCAATTTATTGATGATAGCCATCTGACAGGTGTGAAACCATATCATTGTGGTTTTAAGCTGCATCTCTCTGATGATTAGTGATGTTGAGCATTTTTTCATATGTCTATTGGCTATCATAGGTCATCTTTGAAGAAGTATCTATTCAGATCTTTTGTCCATTTTTAACTGGATTATTTTTCTTCCTGATGTTGAGCTGTATAAGATCTTCATATATTTTGCAAAGTAATACCTTTTCAGATGTATCATTGAAAAATATGTTCTTCCAGTCCATGGGTTCCCTGTGCATTTTTTAGTGATTTAATTTTGCTGTGCAGAAGCTTTTTAGTTTGATGTAGTTCTGTGTGTTTATGTTTTTAGAAGTATAGGTGTTATTTCTTCTTTGAATGTTTGGTAAAATTTGCCTATGAACAATTGCCTATGAAGCCATGGGGTTTAGAACTGTTTGTTTTCTGGGAGGTTTTTTGTTTTGTTTTGTTTTGTTTTGTGTGTTTTTGTTTGTTTTGTTTTTGTTTTGTTACTGTCTCAATTTCATTAGTTGTTATCAATCTATTCAGGGTTTCTGATTCTTCCTGATTCAGTTTTGGAAAACTGAATATTTCTAGGAATTTGTCCATTTCTCCCACGTTGTCCAATTTGTTGGCATATAGCTAGCTGTTCATAGTAATTTATAATCCTTTGTATTTCTGTGATATCCATTGTTACTTCTCTTTCATTTCTGATTTTATTTATTTGGATTCTCTCTTTTTCTTGATGAGGCTGCTTAAATGTCTGTCAATCTTATTTATATTTTCAAAGAACCAGCTCTTGGTTTTATTGATCTTTTGTATTGCTTTTTTAGTTTCTATGTCATTTATTCTCTGAAACAAAATCATTTTAAAAAAAGACAAAATACCTCTCAACAACATGCTCATATTTTCCATTCCTAGGAATATGTGAGCATATAAAGGGCACTTGATCCCATTGAACTTCAAGACTTATTATGAAAACAAGAAAATATAAGGAACAGATCAGAAGGCAATGTATTATTGAGAGCCTCAGTAAGCGGAACTGACAGTAGGCACATAGAATGCACAGAAGAAAAAGAGCTCTAAGAAGTAGAACAGTCAAGTCAGGGTTCTCAAAGGCTATCAGACTTCATTTTTAGAAGGCAGGTAGAATGGAAAGGCAGAGGAGAACATTTCAACTGAGAGGAATTACAAAAGCAGACTTGTAGCAGAGGAAAAACTACAAGTGGCTCCAGAGGTAGTGAAAAGATAAGCCTATTTAGAGTTGAGGGTTCAAGTTGAAGAAATAGTACTAACAGCTAGTATTTATGGAGGCCTGAGTGCCAGGCACTGTGCTAGGTGCTTTAAATGCATTAGTAGCTCACTAAAGTATACAGACAACTGATGAGGTAGGTATACATAGGATTCCTCTTGGTAGGCAAGGAAAGGGAAGTGTGGCAAGGTCAAGTGGGAAGCCCAAAGTTCCCCAGCTGGTCAATGAGAGCATCAGATTCATTCCTAGGTAGGTCTCATTCCTGAGTCCATGATTTGAACAACCACATCCCTCTTTTAATAGAAAAGCATAAAAAGCGACTGCTGGGGATTTTATCATAGCCAAAGTACATGAAAGGACTATTCAAGATGAAAGTCCTATTAAAAATAACCTAACTGCAGTAGGTAGAGAAGATTAGCAAAGAAGATTCATGATAAAAATGTATCTATTACATGAGTTAGAATGAATTTTGCCAACCCAGGATAGATTTGTGAAAAGTGCCACATATTCATCTATCTGTGTGTGGTCATTATGAGAAATTTAATAGAGTAGAGAACATAGAAACTCATGAGCATTCTAAAAAAGCTATCATCATCATAATCACAGATGACATGTAAACCTATTACCCCTAATCCAAAAAGGAATTGCTTCTACGTTTATTTTAAATTACTTTCTTCAAATAATGGAATTAGCAATAGCATAACTAAGAATGAAACTGCAGTTTAAAATCTGAGAGTTATAAAGGGCAACAATATGACTACAATTTTGCAAAGCATTTAAAATATTTATTTTTTAATAGACTGCATATTGTTTAGCTTCCCTATTTTAATTTCAAAAAGAAATACTTCTCTTTGGATTTAATGCAGGCCATATTGTAGCAACGAGAACAATCTATTTGATTTCTATAACGCACATGCATAAAAATAGATGAAGAGAAGTATCTCTGATGCTGACAATGGAAATTATTTTCCCTGGGCTCTCTTGTACTTCTAAATGGTATGCATGCAGATGAAAAACTCTCCACAATTTCCACCCACATATGACATGTGTGGCTATGCATGGATGGAGCT